AGCAAAGCAGGAAAATAAAAAGGTTTAACACTTAAAATAACCGACGGTAGTCTCATCTTAAAAGAGAGGATACCCAGGAAAAGACAACAGGCATCCATAAAACTGCTAGTGGTTTTAGTAGTGCAGTTTGGCAAAAAGACAACCGGTATCAGCCGTGAAGGAAAGAAAATTCTGTGTGACAGGGAACCTTTTCGTCCAAGAAAAGCAAGGAGTCCGTGTTGGCGCTGCAGCTTTTTAAATAGTCCAACTAAAAGGGGGCAGTTTATGTACAGTAATACAGCACTCTGGCAGGTCGGAAGGGGGGAGAGGGGGGCAAGGACAAGAACAACCATCCAAAAAGGATGTGTTTTTAGTAAAATTGTGCCTGGTGATTCAAGAGAAAGGGGCGGGCGGCGAGAAACGGAAAGGAACAATCTGAAAGGTTAGGAAAGTCCATAGCAGCAAGTAGGTATCCTTACCTGTTAAATGAGTGTCAGGGAGACTAGGAGAGCATTCAGTACCCAAGTACTGAGTAAGGACAGTGCTCCTCTATATCTTAAAGTAAAAGCAAAAGTTCAAAGCTCTACATTGCATAGTAAGCGGTAAAAGAAACACGCTAGTTGCAGACGGGCCACCTGCCCCTTGAAACCTGTTTTCTCCCTTCATCGACCGTTCAGCTACCTGCAACAGCAGAACGTGGCGTTTTTCTTTTCTATTTGCGTGATTATCTTGTATCCCTGACTTGAATTTAATAGACTTGAAAAACCATTTCTGTGAACATCATGTATCCACACCATCTAAAGAGCGGCAACACCGGCAACGGCGGCTGAACTTGATGAACGTAGCAGAGTTTGCCCCGTCCCATCTCGAGGTAGACGACCTCCCGAAGCGACCACCCAAATCACTGGCACGGTCTGATACGCTGGTAGCTGAAAACCACCACAAACGAGAGGATTTGAGGACCCTCTTCGGCTGGCAGGCCGCGGCCAGCACCAGCAGCCCAGCCGTGCGTAACCCCACCGGCACCTTCCGCTCCCCATGACAACAAAGCTCAATTTTTTTGTCTCGAAGCGCTCGCGACGTGTAACGGAGTCCGTCTGGAACGCGGGCCTAGAGCGGCGCGGGGTTTGTTCAGGGTTCGTTTCTCTGGGGTTTATTTGGGGGGCGAGGGGCTGTCCTCCCCCTTCCCCCCCACAAATGCACTGTTTTATAGACACATTCACTCGATCCAGATTCCATTTGTACAGCGTGGCAACTTTTGTTGAGCATTTCAGTGTGCCCTTACTTCAAGAGTGTAAACGCACGTCAACTTCTGGTCCCGCATCTTGTTGAAGCAAAAAACAATTAACAGCTGCAAATATAAACAGCAGAGGGATACTAAATCCCGAACACTGCATACCTATCTTTAATGTTGTTATTTTCAAGTCTTGAATAATTAAACAATGTGTTCATACAGCTGTCAGGCAAATCATGATCTCCAAGCTTTTATTACACGCCTAGAAACTGCTCTGGAAAAGTGTTTTCTACTGCCAGTTACTAAATACAAAAAATACACTATCCACGTAAGACTGATTTTTTTTTTTTTTTCACATAATACATTCTAGTTCTGATGGGCTGAACTGCAGCAGATGCCTCTGAACTTCTAGAGCTGGTTATTTAAAAAAACAACCACCACAGAAACAACCTTCCAGAGCAGAAATACACCAAAAATGTGAACTATTGCACCTGCACCGCTCCAAGCAAATCCTCACTTCTACATATTTTTCCTTTGCGTTTCTTGCTGGTCCGTGACACCAAACCCATGAGACAGCTTTAAATCGAGCGGAGGATATCTGCGACGTAGCACGTTGGAGCAGGCTCTGCCATTCTCACTCTCCTCTCTTGCTGCGATGTGATAACACGAGCTCTAGCACCGGTTAAAGGGCTCCTCTCCAGGACGCGTTATCAGCACAGTGAACGCGCGCACGCAGCCTCTTGAGCAGCACTCGCTCAGCAAAGCGGTTTTCCTTGGCAAGTTGACAGGATTTTTAATATCAAACTGCATCTGCAGCGCCCTTCGCGCCTCTGTAGCTGGCAATTTTCGGTCACTAAACTCTCCTCAGGTAACAGCAGGCATAAAAGGCTGCGTGTGCAAGATGGCGTTCTTCAATTCAGCTTCCTACATGACTGGAGTCTGTTTAAAACCGTGCAGTTCAAATTTGGGAGTTCAGCTGCTTTTGCACGGTCAGGTGGACGCTGACCGCTCCCGTAACTCTGAGAAGCCAACAGCCTTTTGCGTTATTCAGTCCTGAACTAAAGAGAGCCCTCCAACCCCGCACCCAACGCTACCGCTGCCAAACCAGGCTGACGCCGTCGTGCCCAGACCAGGCGTCAGGTACGCTACTCGGCTCCAAACAATCCCGCAGCTCCTAAGACATCACGACCGACACGCACAGTCCGCAGCAGTACCGCCTTCCCAGCTACCCTGTCAAACATACCACACGGCACGTAACAAGGACGGTGCCTACCACAGGAACGCTTTTCCTCCAGCTGTTCAACAGGAAGGTACTTGCGCAGCCCAACGCGTGGGATCGTCTGCCCGTGGGAGCTCCTTCTTTCCTCTCAGCCTATGGCTCGACTGCAGACAGCAGCGTTTAGGTGCTACAGCACTGACTCTTCCGCTAGCCAACACAATTGCATGGGGAAACCCAACGCCTGCCAGACCAGCTATGTCCTCCCAACAGCAGGACTCACAACAGCTTTGGGGTGAACGCTGCAGTCACAGGCGACTTGCCAAAGGACAGGAAATGGTGCTCGTGCTCCTTGGTTGCTTTTGCCTCTAATTTTTTTATGCCTTGGGCATATTTTTCCAACCCCTAGCTCCCTGAAGAGGTAACCGACATTGAGCATCTCCCGTCTTATCCGCCCACACGCGTGTACGCACACGGGAGAGTCAGGATCCTTACGGGCTGAGAAGGGGTAAGACCTTAGTTCACTTTTTTTTAAACTAGGCGTTTATTAAAACATGCAAGGGAAAGCTCTCTTTGCATCAGCAGCTTGACTCAGTGTGGACGGTGGGAACTCCAGTCCAGTCCCAACGCTCGATGTTAAGAAAAAACACAATATCGAAGGCCTTTCCTTGGACATCCACATGTTAAGAAAACCTGGTAATTCTGTATGACATCAAAAGAGCCCAAACGTTAAGGATCACTGACAATTTCACTTGTCCTTTGAGCAGATGATAACAGGCTATGACATAGATCTGCAAAGGAGCCAAACACATTCTACATTTTCTTGAACTGTAACGAAGCTTCCAATGAAACCAAGGACTGTCTTAATTACAAATGCTAGACTGCACTGTTTTGCCAGCAGCCTCTCTCTAACAGCGTAGTCAAACCTAAATTCAGCATGAACACCACTGCATGACCATCCTTCGCTATGCAACGCTCCGTGTTTCCATTTCTAAATAAGCAGCAGCGAAACAAGCACACAATGCCAGTTTCTAGCTCAATACTAGGCTTTCTCAATTGTTCTCAAGTCCGTTTGGGGGGAGTGAGGGGGGAGAAAAAGAGACAATATAGGTAACGAGAACATTAAATTGCTTCTCCAGGAAGCAGTTGAAGCAGACTAGAAAATTTAACTCCATTGAAAACAACATGGTTCTTAGAATAACCTTCAGATGCTTCTGAAAGACATCATTTCAACTCAGAAGTAGCAATTTTAGTCTCCCAAACGCGTCGATGTTTATGACTGTGCTTAGACATTTAGTAGCTAGCTATACTCATGGCCTCTTACGTATTTTGCAGGCTGCTGCACAGCGTTTTCCACTTTACTCGGCGTTTTCAGCGAAGCAAAGGCGCACAAAATGCAAGCTCAACTTTTCTGTCGCATGCTAACCTTGGCTTCACCTGTAAATTTTAGAGGTTCACCAGTCAGTCTCGCATACACCAGTCAGTTAAGGTCTTCATGTTATTCGGGCCTAAAAATTGTGTTTTTGCAGACTCACAATCTAGCAAAGCCTGGCAACGTTAACCACCTAGCATACTGTATTTGGAAACTGGCGATACCATGGGATAGCACGTTGAGCAACCTAATACAGATTTCTTTGAATCCGAAATACAACGGCTTTGACGAGATCCATAAATGAGCAAGAGAACCAGTCATACTGGCTTCTGCACTGGGAAACCTAACAGATACAGCTGCAGCAGCAATTTCCGAGTCATCCTCTGTGGATCACCCCAAAGGCTAACTTCTCACAGGCGATTCTCATTCCTGGTTTGAGAAAACACAAGGCTAGAGAGGCAAAGACCCTGCCCCGGGTGGGGGAAGGCCACATTTTGACTAGTTTTTCTCCCAAATAGAAGATGCACTTACCAAATTACAAACCACTAAAAATTCACCAGTATGTTCCTATTTCTTTTCCCAGCTGCTGTAGTTCCTTGGAGACGGGCCGCAATTTTAAACGGGGGAGAACACCATCGTGCTACTGTAAATCCAAAGCGGTCCATGCCATTGTATTCCCTCCAAGATACATTTCCTGCCACAGAAACCACTGGCCACCAGAGCTCCTCCACAGAGCCAGGCTTTTTATTCCTAACTTACAAACATCATTTCACTAGTTATTTTTCAAGCCAGATTTTTCTTAGTATTACCCCAGTGCATTTTTTTTGTATTGAGTATTTTCCCTAAGTGTATTTGTGCGAACTAACAGTTCATTTGGCAAAAGCTAGGAACTTAGCAAAAGCGACTGACCCAAGTTGATGCTTCCCTGTTAAAAAAATAAAAGCAACTATGAAAAGCCAGAACCAATAGCCACAGACATGCAACTACTTGCTAAGCACAGGTTCTCTGTAATTTTGACATCGCCTTCATAGTTTCGCTTTAGCGACTAGCACTTCTCCATCACTTTTCTTTATAAGAAATACCTACTTTTGAAAAATCCTATATTCATCTCTAAAAAAATAAGACAACTATTTGTATTAAAAGCTGGAGATCATTGATTTCAGTAAGTTATGGCTTTTTTTTTAGTGTAAGCATATAGATATTTTTCTAAAACAAGTATCAGTAAGTGTCCTGGGTGTTAGTTCGTATTTTCTGTTTCCAGCAATGTTCAGTATTGTATGTGCTTTGCACCTCAGAAGTGAGTCTGCCAAGGCACTTAGAGAATGTAAGCAAGTCTTTTAGGGACTTCATGAGAATGGGCTACCACTGACACGATAACAAGAACCCATCCACCAGCAGAGTCAATTCCCCAACCAAGCATGTTTCCTTTATAAACACTCAGCACCTGCTAAACTCCACAATGAATAACAACAATAAAAAAAAAAAGGCTATTTATCACATGTCACTAACAGATAAAAGATTTCCCCTAATAAAAGCACAGAAAGTAGATCTTGGCTGTCGTTAGTAACAGCACAGGTTTTTGTTTTGTTTTTTTAAAAAAACAAATGAACGAAAAACAAATACCACACGCTTGCTTAAAGAAACAAGTGACTTCAAGGAATCCTCTTCTTTTTATCTGTCCTTCGAGGTGAGTTTTTCAATCAGTTCTTGAAGTGGTGCAAGTTCTCTTCTATCAATGAGGTTGAATTCCTGTAAGAGGGACGAGGAGAAAGACATACATACAGAGTTTTACATGTGCAGCTCAGGTGAGAAGTCTTATTCGGGTAGAAGTTACTTGGTAGTACGCTCTTTGAGTCCAGGCTTAACCACTACCACGTCTTCTGCCTGCCTGCCGTTAGCTGAACGGCAATGTTCGACTGCCTAAAGCTTCTCCCTCCACTTAAAGGAAGGAAACGGAAGAAGATGCTCTTTTCTTATAAAGGGGGCAGGGGGGAATGTAGCTTTGAGGCAATCTAGCTTCAGATGCCGTCCTCCCTCTTTCTTTTGTTAGGAATTACTGTTCTGCTGAATTATTTGGTAGGGAACACTTTTTAGTGTTCGATTTCGTAGCAAACGAGTACTTTGTTGAAAACTTCTCCATTCCTTGAATGCTTCTAGCAGTGACTATACATAAAAATGGAGTAAGACACCATCTTAGGGTCCTGGAGGTGCCGACTCTCCTACAAACACACCAGCTGTTACGAAACTGAAGGGGCATTACTTGGATATGTTACTTTTTCCAGAATATAATTGTAACCGTACCGCTCCTGCCACGCTCACCTGAACAAAAAATATAAAGTGCTTGAAAGAAGTGTTAAGGTGTGCCTCTTCCTGTAGCTGGATCACTGGATCAAAGTGCTGGTGATAAATGTGAGCATAAACTCTGAAGAGACGCTTTAAAATGGTCTTTGCCACCGACATGAAATTCTTTGGGAACGGTACACCTAAAAATAAGGAAACAGATGGATTATTTTTAAACGCCCGTGCCGTGTTCGAGCATTTTGAAAGCCATTGTAACTCAACCCTATCTCTTGCACAAGAAGGGCTGTGCCATTTCACTCCGCGATTCCGACTTTAAATCACCCAATGTACTGAAGCACAATGACAAGCTCATTCCAAGACTGGAGAAGAGGCTTCCCTCCCTCCAGCAGACCAGTGGCTCATGAACTTTTCCCAAGACAAATCTGACTACGTTTCTATGCCGAACCCTCCTAGCTTCACTTTCCAACTACTAAATTCTGTTACGCCTCAGTACAGTACTGAGGAGCCTTCTCTGACCGAGCATCTTCCTCCCTTCGGGTAGGATTCAGACGCCCAAACACAGGTATCTGAAGTGCTTAGAGATGCCCTCTCAGCACCTGCCCGGCCTCTGACTGCCAGTGAAGAAGAGGGGAAGGCTCCTGCAGGCTCGGAGTCTCACCAATGGCTCTGTGCACGTGTCCAGGACACCACAGGGTACTCCGAGGGACACCAGACACCTCTGTGTGGGCAACTGAAACCAGCTTGGGTGATCAGCCATCGAGTTTTACGCTCCTCTTGGCTAAAGTGAAATCAGAAACAGGCTCTCTTCCACTTGTCTCGTGCCCAGCAAAAAGACTCCTGTTTCCATCCTGCTCATCGCCATCCCTTACCCGGCAGCTACTGCTTTCTTAACTGCCTGCCCGTGTGCTCTGAAACATGCTCCTTGCAGTCATTTCAGTCAAAGTGACCCAGGACAGGTTACATCAGTTTCAACAGCAGATCTTTGTCAGTGCACGAGTTTTATTAAAATTGGTTAGGAAACAACAACCGGCTACTGGGAGCAATAGTCTCTGTAGCTGACACATCCACAGGCTAAAAAAAAAAGCTATGTATCAACCATCTAAAAAGATTAAACCTGTCTAGCTTCTGATCACGAAGCAGTTTTCCCCGTCAGCTTAGTTCTTTTGCAGTCTTTCTAACTGCCAAAGTGCTGTTAGAAGGCCATGAAGGCCAAAGGCCCAAGCTGGATCCTGCAGACCATCCATGCAGATCCTGCATGATCTCACCAATGCTTTGAAAGACTAGCAATAAAGTTTTCATACTCCTACTTGAGCTTGCCCTGCTTACACGTACATCACATTTCCTCCGTTGGCTGCTGCATCGCCTGGGAAGTTCATATTTAGCTGGCTATCCATTGTGGCCCTTAAGCCTCTTTCTGAATCGCTACCTTTCAAAAATACTTCCTATTAAAAGAAAAAAAAGCCTTCAGCAAAGTATATGCTGCAGTTCAAGAAAGATCGAGTCCCAGTCTAGTCTTTTGAACGCAACTTTAACATTAACCGTAACCATTTACTATCATTCCTATTAGCAGTGGACTTCTACCCCAGCTCTGAACTCCGCCCTGAAACAGTAAAAGGAATGCCACAGTATGGGAAGAAACCATGCTCACATCTACCGCGCAGGGAAGATCGACCTTTTTGTCACTTCTTCCCAAACTAACCAGCCTTCTCTGCTTAACTCTAACTAAAAACAAATGCCACTTGACTCTGAGAAGTGGCCCTGTTTCTCTGAAGTGGCTTACTGAAAATGTGTCAAACGCTTCAGAAACTATTCACAAGATAAAAGCAATTAAGAAATCTCCCTTCCTTTTTCCACAATGGATCATAAGCCTGCGAGTAGCGCTGTCCTGGAAAACTGCCAATTAGGAGCTTTAGAACAAATAGTCCTCCGTGCCTCTAGAAGCAGGGTTTTCTCCTCGTTATCATTTCCGAACTGGTGGTTGCTCATTATTTTCCTCCTGCTTTTCTGAAAGAAACCTCTTAAAAACATACATCTTTCATCCTCACTTGAAAAGAAAAAAAGAAAAATCACGAACTTAAGATCAAAGATGCAATTCAGCTTCTTTGGAGGTAAGGCCTAGAAGCAGCTCCTCATGAGGACCAAACATCCTTCCTACATCAGAAAGCTGCCAGTTTGTACCAATTACCGGTTGTAAGGTTTTCAGACCCTCTGCCTTTTTTCTAAGGGAACAACCCACTGTTCACAATGAAAAGAAACATCAGATTTGATCAACACAGTCAGTTATTAAATAGAAACAGTACTTCTTGCATTCTAAATTGTGACAGACGATTACTATGAGTATTAACACACAAATCAGAGTTCATGTCCATTTTATAATAAAACTGCATTTATATATAAAATGTAACCTTTTAAAGTTGCCCTACTCGTCAGTCATTGAGGAGACCTTTTAATGCAGTAAGACCTGAATATTCCTGTACAACTATAATCCGAATACATTGTTCAATTTTACTTATTTACTTTACCTATTTTAGAAGGAAATAGCGTTTCATCATCCAGCTGATCCTGGACCCAAGTCATCAGGTAATCAATGTACTTTGGTGCAGAGCACTTAATTGGTTTCTTTATGTTTGTCCCATCTGCCCAGTGGTACTCATATCTGGGTTGGGACGACAACAACAAGACATTTCTTAGCACAAGTGAATCATTCATAGCAAGGCCTGGAAGGTTGCTTTTCCTGCTCCACTCCCCGCACTCCCACGCCCTCCCACAGCCCTTCCTTGAAACTAAGGTCCAAAGGCTCCCGAGCCATCTGCAGCTGCTCCGTGCCCAATCTCCCCACCGCAATCCTGCTGGAGCTGCAGTCTGCGAAGGCCTTAAAAAAAAAAAAAAAAAAAAAACCCTTCTTTTCAACAAAAAAAAAAAAAAAAAAAAAAATCCATCCTTTATAGCACAACTCATTCACCCTCAGTTGCAACGCTCCTGCCAAAATGCACAAGGCAGCCTGCAGGCAAACCTGCACCCCTGTACATCAAAAGGTGCTCGATGAGTAGTTTCCAAACCCCGAAAGGCTAATAGCTACTTATTCTTTTTCAAAGCTCCCCCTCCACCCCCCCAAAAAAAAAAAAAAAAGAAAAATATTACAGCCTGTTGAAGTGAAACATCAGAAAGTTACATGAGACTCTCGCGGAAATAAAAGCTAAGCTCCAGGGCTCAAAACGATGAAGGCACCTGACTGATTTCTAACATGAAATTTCACCCAATCGGCCCAAGCAATGGGCTTCTCTTCACCCCCACTGGCACAGAAGAACTGCCAAGCCAGCGGCAATGCTCAGCATCCGCAGCAGCTGCCAGCCAGGCACGTTAGACCCCTAAAATTTATGGAATTTCTTTACATTTGAAAATATTCTTATATATTTTGCGTAATTGAAGACCAAACTACATTGGCTCTTGCCAGAGGCGCCAAATTACAACTGTGTTAGAGACACGGAATAGATCCAGAGGTAGGTTAATGCCAAGGAACACTATTACAGAACTGGAAGCAGGCTTAAAGTGACTTTCGGCTAACGGTTAGACGAAAGCTTCGAGACTAAATAGTCCTCCTTAGAAGAGGTTCATATCTGAAGATCTAGTGCTACCACGCAGCGCACCAAGATTCAGAAAAATCTCGGTTTCCAGTTATGCCGCTGACCCGTAAATGTCTTTAAGCTTAATTTTTCCATCGGTAGATAAGGTGGTATCACACCTATACAAACCTTCACAAACGTGACTATGGAACACTAAAACGAGTGCTCTTTTTATCCTTTTCCATTCACAGAGCTAATCATGTTGACAACTTTTATGCAGCACGTGTAATGAGTACTTTGCAGCGTCATTCATCTTACAGTGATCATTTGAACTTGCGGGATTTAAGAAGCCATGGAAAAATGTATTAAGCAGCATCCATTTACATGCACAAGCAGACAGAAACGAGTCCTCATGAAATTCGAATGGAGCAGGTATTTTGAGTGGCTTGGGGACTGCAACCGACACAAGCCCAGACACAGGAGAAGATGGCTAATCTTGGGAACGTACCGCTTAAAAAAACCAAACCCGTTTAACGTGGGCAGTCTGACAAAACCAGCTATCAAGTGAGCCACGGTGTTTCTTTCTCTGTCTTGCTGAGTACAAATGCATGGATCTTAATATTCCTTGCCAATCCGTAACATCTGAGCGGTTTCTTCTCATCAGCACAGAGCCGTGCGTAGCCCTCTCTTTTCGATCTGAACACGGCATCATCTCCCACGTCGGCTTTAAATCAGCCAGCCTTGCTGCGGAACGGCTGTCCCGTGGGGCGAGCCTGCTGCCAAGCCAGAAGCGGAAAGGACTGCTGAGCTCTGCAGTCCTCCCAGAGAAGCAAATGAACAGTGATTCAGACTAGCTGAAACACTCTTCTTTTAGAAATATAAAATTAATAAAAAAACCCAAAACAAAACATGCAAGGACAGTGATGTCAGCTCAGTCATGCTCTTACAGGAAACATACCCGCTTCATCTACAAGTTTTATCTCAGTTCTTTTTAAAAGAACGAGAAGAGCTGGTATTAATGGTGAATACTCCTTGCCATGGAGGACAGCGTGCTCAATTTGGTTGTTATTTCTCAGTACAGCAGCAGCATACCACAGTGTTGGGGCTGCAGCCACCACTGTCTGAACTTCCCCTTGCTACCTGCAGTTGGTATTGTGCGGACACCGGAGAAGGTCTTCCATTTTAAAGATCACACACATCATTCTATGCAAAGCCTAACTGTATCTGAGAAATCTGGTTTCTCATTTTGTTTAACAAATGCAGCTTTGTCAGAACAGAAACTGAGAGAACATTGTCACGATAAACAAATTCTACGAGTGATTATGAGCATGCTGCTCACAATACTATAAGAAGATCCCATTTTTATAGCGGCAACAAATCAGAAGGTCTGAAAACATTTTAAAATTATATCTCAAAACACATGCAAAAATTCCATGCACACTGAATGGACCACAACGCGTCTGGATTTCCAAAAAATCAGTATTCCTCACCACCCAGTATTACTCTCATGCCGAGATTTAAGTGGTCTTAACATAGGACAAATATCAACACTTAGGTGAGGTGGCAGGTTCAGTCTGGAGACAGAATGAGACGACAAACCAAACTGCCTGCTAAAAATCTCATCCAAATAATATATACCCATAAGAAGCTTCCCTCCCTCCCCACCCCCCAACACTATGGGTTAATTCTGCGGTTTTTAGAGGAAGGAATGCCATAGAACGACCCTTTAAGTAGCACAGCTCTCAAGAAACAGCAGATATATCCTGACAAAAATAAAGTCCTATAGAGAATGTGAAAAGTATTCCAGCAAACACCCCATGCTCCACGCAGTGGGTGTAACGTTCACGGTTGTTCCTAGGCTGTCAAAAGGCTTGGGGTTTGCAAGGGCGTGAAAAATGAACTCTTCCTACAAGGTCAGATACATCACTGCAAACAAATCAAGAATCCTCGCCCAGCTCCTTAAACAAAAAAAGAAAACCAAACACACAAAGAATTCCCACATATTAGAATCATTTGAACTGCTACAGGCAATGAAGGGTAAAATCACATTTCTAGCTCAAGCTTGTGAGCAACCACCTACAGCTCTGGTGACAGAAACAAATTAACCTTTTTGTGATAGGCAATTTTTCTACAGAAAGCACATTTTTAGAAACCCCTACGGTTTAGTAGAGCTTTTTAAGGGCAAACCAATATGTGAAGGATAGAGCGAGAACTATACAGTTCACTTTAGCAAGCGCAGGGGAAAAGCTAAGAGACCCCGACAACTCTGGTAGAATTCTCCCATACTGATAAACACAAGTTATTTGCCACCTATAAACAGAAAACCCAACTATGCTTCTCACCCTAGAAAATATACCTAAGTATGTACAATCATAGGATCAGATTCTCTACCACACCATTACACGTACGTGGCCAAAAAAAAAAAAAACACACAAAAAAAACCCTGAAAAATAAAAACCGACCACCCACCAAAACCCCCAAGAAAACAAAACCAGCTTGACTAAAATGAAAGCTGTTACCTTGTCCAACAGCAATAAAATGCAGTGGCTCAGTAATGCCTTTTAGAAGATTCCCAGACATTTATTTGGACCTATCATCTCTAAATCTCAGCAAAACTGTATTACAGCAAGACTGCTGAAAAATACTTCTTCTGTTTTGTCCCTGTGTCATCAAGCGGCACAGGCGCAGAGTGGAGCGTCACAAAAAGGCAAAAGGATCGGTATTGCTAAGAGGGTGTTTCAAGGCCCCGATTACGTGATTGATTTATATTTTTGCCGCAGAAGGCAGCATGCGAACATTCAATGCCACCATATTACGCCCACGTAGGATTTATAGGAGCTGTCCGCTTTGGAGCGCCCAGCTATTCCGATTTGAATATATGAAGACAGAAGCACTGCGGACCAACAAACCTCAGGAAAATCAGAAGGATCTCACCTCCATTAAGAGTGAGCTTAGTGTACTCACACGAAGGCCTAAATATGGATTTTAGAGCCCCGGTTCAGACATCCAGCTTTGAAAAACGCGGCAGCCACGTCCCTCCTTCGCGTTTTTATTGGCGACTTACAAGCAGGGAGGAAAATAAAGAAAAGTCCCCTCACCCGATGCTGGTTCATGAACACATTACCTCCATGCAGGTTCTTAACTTGTTATCACGCCTGTTGCGCTGATGGTGATACTGCAGCTGATACAAGAAATGGCAAGTGATAGCCAACTACGGTTTGTTTGGGTAAAAAACAGTTGGTCTTTGCTGAAGCGAAAAGAATGGAACGTTACTGTGAGTAATCACATGTTTTGGAACAAATTAAAGCGATACGTTCTCCAAATCGCTGGACAGCGAGCTGTGCAACAGGAGAGGGAGATCTGTTCTTGATCTTTACGTCAAACCTTAGCTAACTCAATGTACTAACACACTGATACAAGCTAAGTCAGCGATCCTTCCAACAAAGACAAGTCCAAAACAAATGAAAGCAATCCCACTGCACACAAAAATTCACCTGCCTCAGCTGAGCCCTTCTGTTTAAGATTGCTACCAAAGAGAACCAGTGGGCCCGAGAAGTAGCCGTACGGCCCCAAGCATTTGCTTAAAGATATAAAAGATATATATCCCCTTTAGAGATGATCTTCCCTGTATCAAAAATAAAATTAAAAAAAAAAAAACCAAACCAAACAGATATGAACCTAGGTGATAAGCCTCTTCCCAGGTCCAATTTTTTCTTTTTAAGGGTTTTTAAAGACAAAACACCAGTACCAGGCAGTGGATATAGGAAACATCACGCTTCCGCTCCAGTCACCCTCTCCCTTGAGACGTCTGGTTTAATTCTTCCATAGACTGCTACAAGTTCATCAGTTGTGCTATGAAAACTGTGAACTGAGCCACGTCGAGTTCTAAGCAGCCACCTATGTACGCACCAGCACCTTACAACCCTTTGTAATATATGGACCATCAAGACTTTTCCAGTGGGAATGCAAAAATCAGACTTCAGAGCCACGGAGCGCTTGCTGCTTTGGGTTCTCTGCAGCTACTCATGCTAGGGCTGCCTAACCTGTTTCAAATGACCTCCTGTCAGTTGTTTCAGCTTCTGGCTGAAACGGATGAGGATGCGACACTGGTGGCAGCTCAGCCACGGGTGCGAGCAGACAGCAACCTTCAACCTACAAGCACTCGTGAGCACCTAAGGCTCAATGCCTCTTCAACTAATACGGCTTGAGCCAGAAAAGAATGGGAAACAGATAAGAAACAGCAAAAAAATCCGTAAATATCAGTGCTTTCACGCTGACAGGTTTTCCAGGGGTACTTCCCTGAAAAAAATTTTGCAGGCCACCTTTGAAGTGAAAAAAAGCCACACACACTCAAACTAAAAAACAGTGTCTGTGCTCCGCTGGCGGTCACCCCGGCCTCACCAATCACCCGTTCCTGCGCCCGCCCGGCCTCGGCCCCTCGCGTGCACACGCGCTTCTGAGCCTCTCACAAAGCCCATCCCTGAGCACAGGTTGGGGAGTGCCCTACAAATCCGAGGGACAAAGCGACCTAATGAAAACCTTGGCAGAATGCATCTTCTACCCTCTAGCATCTCTCTTCTGCCCTGCTTCGTAACTATTTGAGTACGACACATATTTCTGTCAATGGTTATCAGTCTCTTTGGAGAGAAATAAATTGTTTTGTCTGGCAACCAGACAGCTAAGCCTTTAATAATTAACCTCCACCCCCAAATAATGGCTTCTCAGCAGACAAACAATAAAGCAAAGAAATATTTTCACGCTCTTATTTGATAAATAAGAGTCTGTTCTGCATGCCAAAGCACAAAGCAGACAATGGGCTGTGTTATTGCACAAGCTTATCCCAAAGTTCTTTTGCATAATGGTACGCTTCTATTGCTTTTGTAGTTTCACCCCTCTCCGCTGTGCTGCGGCAGGTCTGCCTGCCCACGCTGGTTCTGGCATTCAGCAGTGCCCATTTTCAGTTTACCAACGTAGCACCGCAGCTCTTCTTGGTCCGTCTGGCTGCTTTCGCCTGGCGGAGCTCCTGCCCTCTCCGCCTTGCCCACCCAGCAGCACCCTTTTGCGTGCCCTCCCCTCTCCACCACGCTGGCTGGCAATTACTGGCTTCGGACAAGAACAACAAATGTCATTATGAAGGAGGAGGAAGTGAAGGAGAGGATTGTTTGTCTTTATTGTTTATTTAAGGTCTTACAATAATTTAAAAGGAAGCAGTGCCCTCCCTCGCCACTCGCTTAAAAATGCGGGTATCTTCCTCTTCGGAAAACACTAAGCAGCCAGAGAGCAAGAAAAGCCACGACCGTTGGATGTCCATACCAAAGCACAGGCAAGAATCAAAGAAGGGAAACTCAAACTGAGGGACAGGGTAGGGGATTCTTATCCAGACTACTAAAAACTGTAGCCAAGCTTGATTCTACAATACCTACTCAAACGCCTAAAAGAACGATTCTGGTAAGCCCTAATTGAACACCTGCATATTAACACTTCAAATCTTAACTTAAGAAGCCCTCATTAACATTTCAGTGAAAAAAGGAAAAAATAGTTTTGATCATCAGTTTACTTCCCAGGCGAAAGGAAAAAAAACCACAAGAAAACAAACAACCAACCACCCAACCCCAAAAACCACTTTTCCATTCCCCACTCCCTTAACAAAGGTGCAAATTTTTTCCCCTCGACAATTAAGAGAAGACATCCTTTCCACCCACAGAAGCTACCTTATCTTTGGCACTCAACTGAGCTAGTCTCAAGTTTTCCAATGCAAAATCATCTCAAAAATTGCACAGTCTCAACAACGTGTAAAGAATAATCTTACTTTGGGCCAGCAGACATCACGGGGCAGCTCTCCTCTGTGCAGAAGTCCGTAATGGTTCCGTAAAGCATATTGATCTGGTTGAAGAAGTCGACAGCTGTAAAGCATTTAAACCATCAATTAACACTCTGCGGCGTAACGGCAACACAAGCTTCCTACAGCCTTAACTGTAAAGCGCACGCTGCTGAAGAGGGTCCTGAAATAATTTTTGTGAAAAAACTTCGTTGTTATTGCTTTTTAAGATGTATTACAAAGGACATGCCGAATGCAACCACTAACTTTCTAGAACAGCCTCTGGCAATACCTATTTAATTCTTCAGTGCTGCAAAACCTTCATC